CGGAAAAAGACAGAGTGAGCTGGGCAGAGTGCGGGACAGCCCCAACAGCATTCTACAAACTGTAGCTGTTAGGATTACCTCTCCCATGTGGCAATGCTTCATGAGAAAAGTGATTTGAAAAAGATAAAGTAAAAAAAATATATCTACTAACACTAATTTATATGCACTTTTCTTATTATTATTACTAACAAATTATGTAACTCTTTGTCTGTAAAAAAATAATTTTATTTTTTATTTATTTTTTATTCATATTTTGACAGTTGGCCTGTATCGAAATTTATTCACATACATTTTAATGAGAATACGTGTATTTGAATATCTATATTGAATTAAAATGAAGAACTTGAAAATACGTCACCTGTTTGTATTTTTAATAGCAATAATAGTTCTAAATGTAGTATGTAAATGTACGAACTAACAAAAATTGACGATTCAAATTAATCTGCGCCCAGCAGTTGGACGAATAATTGGCGATTCAACTGGAACAAGTTCGGTTATTTATTGTATAAGCGTAACCAACATTCAGTCGATAGTCGATGGAATATTTATTGACTTCACTTCGGAACAATAATCTGTCATTTTACTCCATCTTCAAAAAAGATAGACTATACTCATCATTTAAGTGACGCCATGTAAAAAATGCAGTACTTACATAACTGACATTTCACAAAAGTAAACATTTTTAATCAGCTAAAACTAATAGCTTGTCAAAGTCAAAGTCAAAGTCAAAGATGATTTATTCCATAGGTAAAATAAATTTACACTTGAAAACGTCACATTTAAGGTACTGCTCGTTCACTACGCTGACCTCCCTGAGAAGAACGAGCAAGAAACTCTAGGGATTGCTCTTTTCAAATAAACTTAAATGCTATGGAATACATTTTGAATCAAATTTGTGTGGATTCTGGAGCCATGTCGTCTTTCCATACATCTTTATCTAACACGTAGTCTTCAATTTTGTAATATGCTTTTTCGATCAAAATATTTTTAATGTACTTTTTAAACTTAGGAAATGATAAACTTAATATATGCTCCGGAATCTTATTGTAAAAACGTATACAGTTCCCCATAAAAGAGTTGTTTACCTTGGTTAAACGAAATCGTGGTACCATGAGTTTGGACTTAGCTCTAAGGTTAATATTATGGATATCTTCTTTCTTATTGAAATTATGTATATTTTTACGGGCATATAAAATATTTGAGTAAATGTACTGTGATGCCACAGTCATGATACCAGTCTCCTTAAACTTTTCTCTGAGAGATACACGAGAGCCTAGACGGTACACAGAACGAATCGCTCGTTTTTGCAATACAAATATGGTTTGAATATCTGCCGCTTTACCCCACATGAGAATCCCGTAGGACATTATACTATGGAAGTAACTAAAGTAAACTAGTCTAGCAGTACTAACATCGGTAAGCTCACGTATTCTGCGGACTGCGTATGCAGCGGAGCTTAATCTGCTGGCCAGGGACGATATATGTGGAAACCACTGAAGTTTACTATCTAAGGTCACTCCCAAGAAGACTGCTTTATTAACAAGGTCTAACTTTTCTCCGTTTATTTCTATGCTTGGACTAGTCGATTTTACGTTAGGTAATTCAAATTTAACACATTTTGTCTTCTTGGCATTAAGCAATAAATTGTTAGCATTAAACCAATAAACTACTTTAGAGAGGGTATCATTAATACGGTCATAGTTAATGTCATGTCTGTCTGTTTTAAAAATCAAGGATGTGTCATCAGCAAACAACACTATTTCGCAATGGTCCTTAACAAAGAATGGCAGATCATTAATATAAATCAGAAATAAGAAAGGTCCAAGTATTGAGCCCTGCGGAACACCCATTTTTACTGGAGAACCCAAAGAAGTCGCTCCATTTATGCCTACTTTCTGAATTCTACCGTTGAGATATGACGAGACAAGTTTCGACGCCTTGCCATTTACGCCGTAATGTTCCAGCTTACTAATAAGAGTATTATGATCAACGCAATCAAGTGCCTTTGAGAGGTCACAGAAAACACCAATAGCGTTCTGGGACCTTTCCCAAGCATCAAAGATGTGTTTTAGTAACGCTACCCCCGCATCGCTAGTCGATCTACCACTAGTAAACCCGTATTGTTCACTATGAAAAATATGATTCCTACCGAAATAGGACAGTAATTGAGTTAGCAGAACCTTTTCGAATATTTTACTTAAAGCTGGTAAAATTGAAATGGGCCTATAATTGCTAGGATCAACTTTCCTACCGCTTTTGAATAAGGGAATAACCTTGCTGTATTTCATTAAATCGGGAAAAACACCTTCGTCAACGCACCTATTGAAAGCTACAGCTAACTGTGGGGAAATGAGATTAATAACTGAGTCTATAACTTTAGTTGATATGCCCCAGAGATCTTCAGTTTTTTTAACATGTATTGACTTAAAAGCTTTTATGATGTCTTGTGGATTAACATGACGAAAATTAAATAAACTGCCACAAACGTTAACATTTTCCTTTAGGAGATCAATAGCAAGTGAAGGGGAGGAATTTAATGATTTTGTAGTGTTCACAGCAATTTCCGAAAAGAACGATTCAAAAGCTTGGGCTACTTTATCTTTAGATTTTATAAGTTTGCTGTCTAATTCTAAAACTATATCTCTATCGTGTAGTTTAACCCTGCCTGACTCTTTATTTATTATGCTCCAAGTAGTTTTAGATTTATTTATCGATTGTCTAATTTTGTCGCTGTGAAACTTAACCTTAGCAGCTACACAAACTTTTTTAAATATTTTCGAATAAATTCTAACATATTCTATGAAATTGGAATTAGTATTATAAGTTTTCATAGCATATAGCTCATACAAACGAGACCTACTCTTATGAATACCTACTGTTGCCCAGTCGTTGAATTTAGTCTCTCTATGGAAAGTTAATGTTTTCGATTTAAATATATTGTCAAATTCATTTTTAATTAAACCAAATATCGTGTTATATAAAGTATTTGGATCCTCCGGTATATGGGATAGGGAATTTAAACTGTTGCCGATATTATTTTGAAATCTAATTATTCGTTCTGTGGTAATCGGTCTGCAGAGAAATTGGTCTACGTTCTTGCTCATTTTACAATTAAAAGAAGCCAATTGGCCACTATGGTCGGATCTTAAGCAATTTATTATTGATTTAGACACTGCGTCTGTGTTACAAAAGATGTTATCAATACAAGTAGAAGAGGAGGCAGTAATGCGAGTTGGTTCTAAAAAAAGATTAATCAAGTTAAAACTTTGAAATAAATTAATGAGTCTTGCAGAAGTAGAACAGTTTTCCAACAGGTTTACATTGAAATCTCCACATATTACTACGTTTTTTTTGGTTGGAAAAATCCGCTTTAAACTGTCTTCCATAATTAATTCAAACTCGTTAAAATTAGCAGAGGGGGGCCTGTATACACATAAGACGACAAACTGATCCAATTCCACACATGAAATCTCAATAGTTCGTTCAGTAGAAAGATTTGTGATATCCTTACGCTCTTTAAATTTTAAGTTACGCTTAATAATAATCATGGATCCGCCTCTACTTAAGCTCTTTCTTATGAACGAACTGACTATTACATAATTTTCTATATTGTTAATGGCTTCGTAATCTTTCAGCCAGTGTTCTGTAACACAAAACACGTCAACGGAAATATCGTGCAAAAAAAGACTTATTTCTAATATTTTGCCAGAAAAGCCTTGAATATTTTGATGTACTACATGGAAACGATTAGACTTTTCTGTTGTCGTGTTTTTTAGTTTAAATTATGGTTAGTAAAATGTATACTGTTGCTACTTAAAGTAGGAGCATTGTCGTGGGACTGTGTTATATCTTCTATAACAGCGTCCTTAATATTAAAAGATAGCAAACTAGCTATATGTCTTAGATACCTTAGGGGTAAAAGTAAATTATCCTCAAAAAGTTTGAAGTTCCTTACGAACTTATTAATGTCAAAACAAAATATAACGTCACTATGACGGCAAGTCAAATTATGTATGTGCGAATTTATGTTATATATATACTTATTACGAGCGATGCCTAGGTTACAGCAGTAAGGGAATGCACTTAGTATGAATTTACACCCACACTTCTCATGAATTCTCAAGAACACGTCAATGCTACTATTTACTTCTTTTTTACTAATGTTAGTACTATCACCTATTATAAGAATCACTGTTGTATATTTATCAAAGTTGCAATCACTTAACAGTGTAATAATTTGACTAAAAGTAGCTCCTGGATAGCAATAGTTGACTACCCTTTGTTTTAAGTGGTTACTAAGGTGGTGGCCTAGTCCTACGCCTATTTTATCAGAAAAAACTACCGTTCTTCTGGATGGCCTGGTCGGAGTTCTAATAGTCTTGGTTGACCGTTGACTGTGTCGAACTTCAACAGTTGTAGTGGAGCAGACACGTTTTCCTGCAGCAACGCTGGCATACGATGCACGTGTTGGTTGCGTTGATAATGTGGGTGGTGGGGACGGAGTCTGATTTATTTCTACTGGACCATTTGTTTCACTAAGCTCATCGTGAAGAAGGACTTGAGTAAGTTCTCTATACTCAGTACCCAGCTTTAAAAGCTCATTAGTTGCAGCTGAAAGTTCTTCTAGTTGTTTCTGCGTAGAAAGTAGGTCTTTAGTTCGCGACTGAAGATCTAACTCTAGATCTTTCACTTGTTCGGCCATCTTCACCTTGTCCTTGTGTAAATTTAATTTTTCTGATTTTACTTTCTTAAGAGTTTTGATTTAACTAATTGTAATATTGTAGACATTTATTGTCGTACGATGCAGTAAAACTATTTCCTAAGTAATTAACATTTTGTTGGTTTTAACCACAACAATAATGTACACATTTATCTACTCATTTGGAACACTCTATTCTGACTATTGGCTATTATTTATAAGCTTTTTTCTGTATACTTTTGTTTTAAATATAACAAAGATGGTCTTCCAAAAATACTAATTTCCCCTTTGTTTGTTTCAGATTATCACACATGGACAATCATCGCACCCTTTAAAACACCCACTAAATCATAAAACTATAACAATTTATCATTACACTAAAAAGAACCCAAAAATAAACATGGCGCTTAAATTCAAGCGGTCTTATTCAAAAATAGAACGCCACGTTCCAGCCAACAGGGGAAGCTAAACTTCCTTTTTAAAAATGTAAAAATTTAAAAATAGAAACCGGATACTGAGCAACGGATGTCGGAAACTACGTAAATAGTCGTTGAGTGACGAAAATGTCGAACTATAAGTGTAGAATTGTCACAAGCAGGGGTGTTCAACCTTTGTTCCTGTTGTTACGGACTCGGAAAGTGGATTTTAGTTTGTGTTTAGTGTTGCTTGCATTTTTTGGTGTGTGTGGTGGTTATCACGAACAGAAGTTTGCTATGGAGCCTCAGGATCAGGTAAATTATTTATATTTGTATACTGTTACTTATTCCGCGTACCATTTTGTTTTTCTGAGAATATGAACTTCTATCATATAAGAATAGACTACAAATAGTTTTTAGACATTTCATTCATAGAAAACACATTTTTTTGTAATAAAAAACGACTTATCTATTCATGTAAATCATATCTAAGTACCAGTAGAGCTCCTTGTGAAAGAGTTCGTCCAGTGAAGTACTACCACCTTATCTATTTCTGCCGCCAAGTGGTAATATCAGCATTACTGTGTTCCGGTTTTGAAGGGAAAGAAGGGTGCTGGTGAAATTACAAGCACTTGAGAGTTGTCAACTTACGTTTCAGAGTGACGGGCGCAGTGGCAGTGCCCCTGAAATCTTTGCGATTTAGCTCTGAGTGGCACTGCAACTGTTATGGACAGGCGTGTAGCTTACCATCCGGCACACGACTTGTTCGTCCCGTCACTTAAATTATTTAAAAAAATATTATTTTTACGTTAATTACCATTAATAGTACAGCAAACAGGTCAAAAGGGGCTATGACGTAGCTACAGATGACTTTAGAGTACAAAGCTTATTATGATCTTCTGCCATAGTTCAACGAAATCGCACCCTAGGCGTAATAAGGTCACATCTTGCAAATGATAACTTTTCAAGAGAGAACTTTAAGATTCTCTCTCTCAACTCTCTACGAAAAAATTAGTCGATAACTATTTATGTTTAAGTAGGAGAGTCATAAAATTTCATATATCCATAATTTGTTTCCTGTTCTATTTGGATTAAAACATTCACGATTTTCACCCATTATTGGATTTTTAATTCGAGGCTTTATTACGTACTTAAGTCGACTTAAATCGCCGGATGTCGTGGGTGTTGTGTGTCGGTCTAGTTACAACCCTAGTGCACAACTAAATAATGAAGATCAAGTGCGGGTAGTCAGAAAAACTCGCACGGGTAGAAGATGCTGATACTCGCCTCTTCAGTCCCTTCGAGGCCATGGAAGTTGCAATACGTCCGAAACGTCGAGGTTATTAAAATAAATGTTTTAAAGTGATTAAGTTTCGAATTAAAAATCAACTCATGTAGTTCTATCTATTTTCATGTGATAAAAGCGCTTTTGACGTAAGGGTGTTGAGAAGAGTGACGAGCGCTATGGCAATACCTCTCAGATCATTGCGATTTAAAGATCTGAGCGACACTGCAACTGTTATGGACAGGCGTGTCCTTTACCACCAGGCGCAAATCTTGTTAGTCCCTTCACTTGGTGTCATAAAATAAAAATAGTTTACGTTATGCCTCTTGCTGACACATGCCTGAAAATTTCAAAATGAATTTCCATTTGCGTAGAGGTTGAATGGACCATGAATCTACAATGAAGCTAATACAGTCTCTAATGCAAATAATTTGAGATATCGGTTTGTAGTGATGCGGGTAGTATTCAGATTTCGAATAGATTACGAATTTTACAATTATATTCACATTGGCTTACTATTTTATTCATAATCACATTTGGGTTATTCTTGGATTAGTAACTAAATAAAAATATTATATTTATTTTTGTACAAAACGTAGAAATCACAACAATTGAAGATTTATAGAAAATACAATTGAGAAATGTGGACAAAAAGGTTAAAGGCTCAGCATTCCTATTCGCTTGCTTGACAAGGCTGATGTGCGGAGTGTACCCCAACTATATCTACCTTAAGTACTATGTTAACAGCCTTAAAAAGGCTGTCCGTGTAAAGTGACTTTATTTTATTTATCATAAAATTTTACGGTTTTGATTGAGAACCAGTTGTTACCTACTCGATTTCTCTACAGATAGGAGCCATTGCTTACATCATTCTTTAGAAGTAAACAACGTTTAAAGGCACTTATTCGAATAAATTATCGTGAAATAATATATAGTATTAGTAGAAACGAAGAAGCCGTAGACTACTACCACGGCTTCTTCGTTTCTAACAAACTTGATTGGTATAAAAATGTAATGTAACTCATTTTTATAAACTTTACTTCAACATTTGTGTGTATGTAAATACAAATAAATATTTTAATGAATTTAAATTTTATATAAAAAAACAAGACTTTTCACAATTGAATTTTGAACACGAATAGAAAATATTTCGAAATTCCCATCACTAGTCTCATGAAACAGGGTTTGAACCAATTTCATCGTGATTTATGTTATTGCCTTAACCAAATTGGTAGGTGGATGAGTCCTTAGTCCATTATGAGTAGAGTTTGATCCCCATTCTGTGTAATGTGGGGAACCCTAGTTAATTTGAGAATTATTACCGTAAAGTAACTCATAGTTACATATACAGAGTTTTGTATATGATTTTGGAGTTTAGGGTTAAGTCTAGATTTTATAGTAAGGAAATTCTGTTCGTTAACAAATTTAATACATATGTTAACAATCTTCAAATAGCCGTGGTAGCCTAATGGCTTGACCTGCCGCCTCTTGAACAGAGGCCGTGGGTTCGAATCCGGACTGGCACCTCTGAATTTTTCGGAATTGATGTGGGAAATTTAATTTAAAATTTACCATGAGTTTTTCGGTGAAACTTGCACATCGGAGAAGGTTTACTACTTTCAATAAAAATGGAAGTAAATATTTTGCTGCTCCGCGAACCCAGTAAATCGTGCAAAATCGTAAATCGTGCATAATAGTTCGTGTAGAATATTTTTTCATGCATTAAATTTTCCCACCCTCCCTCCGCATAAAATTAATAAAAATAAATAAAATAACATTAAAAAAGAATAAAAAAAAAATAATTATAAATTATGTAAAAATCATTTGTTTCGGGCGACAATGACCCATATCAAAATTAATTACATTGAAATCGGATTAATAATTAATACCTACAGTTAAGAACTAAAATAATATCAAAATTAAAACGACAATGAAAGGTCATAAAAATAAAATAAAACTGAAATAAAATTAAATAAAAGCCAAAATTCTAATTAAAATTACACGTACTACATAGTTTATTAATGTCGGAATCGATTGCCTGCCTAACCGGTACCATAGCGGGCATGTTTATCACAACAACGCCGAATATATAATCTAACCAGTCAGATATCATAGCCAGGACGATATTGGGGCTGACCCGCACTCTGCGCACCAGCGATGCACACCTTTTGCGCATCGTTGTGTAGAAGCAATCAGTGCATGCCGCCATGAACATACCCGAGGCGCTGTAGGAGCGGTGCAGCCCCAATAACGCCCTAAACGCATTGCAAACTGATAAAATAAATAGCGCAACTACAGTCACAAACCACCACCAAATTAATTTACTTCCATTTTTATTAACATGGACTTCCGCAAAATAACGCCTGAATCTATTAATTATTTACAACATTCGACTGGCGTTATTTACTGTCTGAGAGGAGATCCATGCACAGCAGTAGGTCACATAAATATGTTGATGAACAATATTCTACATTCAGCAGTTAACAGGGTGACTGAACACTTCCGTCCATAAGTATAATGATTTTTACGGCCTCAGTGGCTCAGCGGTTTACAGTGGGTGCTGGATGAGGAGCTACCAACCGGGTTTGATTCCCAGTAGGTACAATTAGTGCTTTGATGCTCTGATACTAATACAGTGTACAGGGAATTGGTGTGGTTTGTTAGCACATTATTATTATAATGTTTTATGATAAAAAACGTCAACTCTCTTTGCCTTTCTGTCTTCGGCACAAAGCACACATAACCTTTTCGATAGCAGTAAAGCTCTTTTGTGAAAGTGTTCGTTCAGAAAAGTACTGCCACCTTACCTACTTTTGTCGCCAAGCAGTAATGTGAGCATTACTGCGATTGACTTTTAAAGGGTAAGGGTGCTGGTGCAATTACAGGAACATCGGACTTGTCAACTGGCCGCAAAGGCCAGAACCAACGACTGTACCCACGTTGAGACAAGAATCGCTGGTTTGAGTTCAGTCGTATTGAAGGAATATTTCTTCGTATTTGTTCGACCACTGTATTAATAATAAGAAACTAGTGGAGTATATTAGCAAAAAATAGACGAATGTTGTATTTTTCAAAAGAAACATTATGTAAGAAGTAAACATATTACGCTATACGACTAGCGCCAACTGTGTCTATAAATATATAAGAAATATAAATAATATGTTCATTTTTCTAAGCGTTGGGTAGTTTTGCCTCCATCATCATAACATACTGGGTAAAAGAATTGTGCGTTTGCACACGCGGTGTCTGAATTTATTCCCATTTATATTAAGCATATTTAATAAAATAATTTCCTTTATTTAACGCCACAATCGAGTTTCCGTTTATGGAAATAAAGGCTACAGTGTAGTGTACAGGCGTGCATATTAATATAAATTATCTTTGTCCGCTATATAATATAAATATAATTATTTTTGGCATTTATAGTACGGTGAGACGTGTTTAGCAACTACTCGTAAAAAGTTACTGGGAAATAACAAAATATTGTTACAATTGTTGCAGCCCCATCAATTCTACGTCATGAACCTGCTTTGACTTTGTCCTAAAGACAACAGCGCCTAAAAATTTAAGTAGTTTAAAATGCATAAATATTATTGGCTTATAGTCTTTTAGCAGGCACTTTTTGTATGTCAAGTATGACGTTTGCCACCGCATCAATCAGCTTTAATAACAAATTAGACCTATTACGTTCCTAAAACACAACTTAAATATTGATGATTGTATTACAGAAACGAGAATAGACGAAGAAAATAATAAAGAACAATCTAATAATAAAGAAAGTACGTCATACGATATCAATTTCCAATGAATTAGAAACGTTACACGTGATAAATCTCAAAATATGAATTACCAAATACTAACCTATAAAAGTATTTCAAATATCAATTACACAATGCACTATAAGATTTTTAAATACCTACCTTTATCATAATGACAAGTGACGGGACGAACAAGTCATGCGCCTGGTGGTAAGCGACACGCCTGGCCATAGCAGTTACAGGTCACTCAGAGCTTTAAATCGCAAAGATCTTAGGTGCACTGCCACGATGCCCATCACACTGGGACATAATTTAACAAGTCTCATGTGCCTGTAATTTCACCTACACCTTTACCATTCAAAACCGGAACACAGTAATGTAAACATTTCATTACATGCTCTATTACAACCAAAATTTGTATGTCGAATACATATTTTCCATTATTGCCCAGCCTTGATAGCTATTTGTTTGCTTGGTAAAGTTATGTTAAAATTTCAGTAACCATGCTCATTAATATAGTCGTTATTAGTATAAACGTCAATTAAAAAATAATAAAACATCCATTTCGAAAAGCGAAATATGAATAACAAACAAGGGACTATAGTTAATGTGATTCAAATAACTTTGTAGAAAAGCGTTTGAAACACATTCGTATATTTAGCAGTACAACTCCTTGTGAAAGAGTTCGTCTCGGAAAATACTGCCACCTTACCTATTTCTGCCGGTAAGCAGTAATGTCAGCATTACTGTTTTCCGGTTTTGAAGAGTTAAGGGTGCTTGTCAACGTATGTCTCAGGGTGACGGGCGCAGTGGCATTGCAATTACCGCGAGTTGCATTGCAACTGTTATGAACAGGCGTGTAGCTTACCATCATCATTCCGTCACTTGATGTTATAAAAAGTATAAAATATTCTACTTAACAAAACTAATCTATTTAAAAGTTAAAAATAATAGTGGATTATTTCTCATTCGCCAAAGACTCTCAAATGTACAGTTTACTTCAAAGTTAACTGCATTTTAAACGAGAGCGATCAAAATTTTACTAAGTAATAGGTTTTTTTTATGTAGCCACGTAACGGGACGAACAAGTCGTGAGCCCGGTGTAAGCCATCAGTCTGTCCATAGCAGTTCTAGTACCACTCAAAGCTTCAAATCGCAAAGATCTGAGGGGCACTGCCACTGCGCCCCTCACCTTGAGACGTAATCTGTCAGGTCTCATGTGCCTATAATTTCTCCAACACCCTTCAAAACTGAAACACATTAATGCTGACATTACTGCTTGGCGACAGAAATAGGTAAGGTGGCAGTTCTACCCTGGAGAAACTCTTCCACAAAGTGCTATTAGTAGGAAGATTTTGTAACTTCCTTCGTCGTGCAGGTTTCATGACAATGTTTTTTTTTTTTCACCAAAACGCTCATGGTAAATTTCACACATAAATTCCAAGAAACTCAGAGGTGCGAGCCCGAATTCAAACTCACGCCTCTGCTTGGGGGGCGGTAGGTAGAACCATTAGGCTACCACAACTGATAGATCGACTCATCCGTAGAACAAAGACCTATGTACAACATGCTCCTTATTCTCGGGACATTGTACATTTCGTTTGTTGTTCTTGACTGCGAGTATCCACAGTCAAGATCGTAGTTCGATTTTATATTTCCAAAACGAAATAATACATACATAAAAAATATGAAAAGACATTTCGATGTCTTACTTTCTCAAACTCGTATCTCATAAAGAATGAATATTGAGGAGATAATAAAGTATGATAATTATTTACGATGATAAGATAATTTTTTAAACGCTTACGTGTTTATGTACAGTCGACAGCGCACCAAGCTGTACACTTTTATTCGAATATAGCCTTCAGGGCAACGGAACAAAATCTGACAACGTGTAGCTTCGCGTCCTTACACCAGGGCATTATTTCCTATTTATTTTTGAGTAAATCAAAATCCATAGGAATTTCAAAAACCTAAATAAGAGGCAAAAATATGTCACACCGTGACATATTTTTGCCTCTTATTTAGCATATTCTCGGTATCATCGAACAAGTGATTTAATGAACTGAACGTAGCGAAGTAAAAGAAACTAATTGTGTGTGAAACGAATCGCAGATCTGCGATTAAACAGATAATGGTCTCTTTTTAACGGACTTCGAAAAAAGGAGAAGTTTCTCAGTTCGACTGATTCTTTGTGTATGGTACACGATTACTCAGATATTCGTGAACCGATTTCGATGATTCTTTTCGTGTTAAAAAGGAGACACAATAGTAGCGGTCCTATTTAAATTTTGAAAACAATGTTCCACCTCTAACACCTTTTCTGTAAAAAATATATCGACTTTTTGTTTTATGCGACTAAAATTAAATTAAAAATACCTTTTTTTGTGTTTATTTTTTAGACTGCCATAGTTGGATCGAGGGTAACACTTCCTTGCCGCGTGGAGAATAAAGCAGGTCAATTACAATGGACGAAGGACGACTTCGGTCTCGGTCTACACAGAGACCTTAGTGGCTACGAGCGTTATAAGATGATAGGCAGTGATGAAGAAGGTACGATACATTTTGTTTCTGAAATTAGATATTGTCTTGCATTATTTGGTGACATATCCGTACAAAACTTCACTTCCAACTAGAGCAATGAACTTACTATTGTACTAAGTACAATAGAGTAGCAATGTCATATCGTTCCTAGTGATGTATCACTGATAAATAACCAACTATCACACACAAATGATTCGATTTTTGAAATTTAACCTTGTGCAGAAGGATCAAACTCGACGCTTATACAGTCGCGTCCACAAGCATTGCGTGGGTTTAAAATTGACGCGTAAATAAGTGCAATACGCTAGACTGTCGATTCGCGGGAATTACGGGCGTGATTTCCGCGAATCGTAATACTTGTAACGCCTTGGTTACGTTCTGTTCACGTGTGAACTACAGAGCGAGTGCTATCTAGGGAAATGGAGCGGTCAATTTTGATCCAGAAATGATTAAAGATGAAATAGAAAGAAAAATGAGACAATATGGAATCTTTTGAGTACGATAACAGAATTTTTAACGATACAAATTTACAAACATACTATGTGTTATTCTATCGTAAAGAATTGAATATACTAAGTAAATTCATCTTTCCCGTCGTTTTCGTCTCTTCTAACGACGGTAAACTAGCCACAACTGGACCGTTTTTCCAACTCCAACACGAGCGAGACGATTCGCGGCGAATTTGCTTCTTCTGGATAAGCCTTAACATTTTATGTGCGAAAGACAAAACTTCATAGTTTTAATCCCAAACGCAAAAATAGAGATAACTTTAAACCCTTTGTCTGTGCATCTGTGCGTCTGGGATCTATAGACCACAGATGTAGTCAAGAGTACCCTTAACCGATGAGCGCGTATGAAAGGACTGATGCGTGTTGATGAGGCAAAAGATGTGCGTCAGGACCGTAGTAGATGGAAGACTGTTGTCTCCGCCTAGCCCAATGGGGAAAAGGCGTGAAGTATATGTAATGTATGTATGTGTCAAATCACCAATCCTCATTTGGAATAAACCTTCTATTTTGAGAAGATCGATTGAAAAACTATTCTAATCTCCAGTCTACCAACTTTAGCAATCAATTTAAAATTTCTTGAACCACGTTGAGAGTAATGATTTAAAGGTTTTCAAATATTATTTCTAAATTAGGTATTTTTTTTGCAGGCGACTATTCCCTGGACATCAGGGACGTGACATTGGAAGATGACGCCAAATACCAGTGCCAAGTCAGCTCAGGGGCCAAAGGTATGTAGCATATTCAGCTACAGATTAAAACTGTTATAAAATAGAAATAAGAGTGCGTTTGATACGAAAGAAAATAAATACAATAAACAATGACAACAGATCTCTTAGTGTGTAGCTCACCGCAATCTACAGCTTTATTATACACTCACAAGTCACAGAATTTTAGGAAGAGAAATGATAGATGATGGTGGATAATACGCGTATTGTATTTATTGTAGCCAGCATTTTCCACGCTCACGTGAAATTAGGGTCAAATAGTTGTACTTAAGGTAGGTATTGTCTTGGAGCTATCAAATCTTCTGTAATAGATTGTACTCATTTATGGAATTTAACCTGGTCAGTATATTCATGGACTAACTATTAAATTTCTTCGAGTTGTATTAGAAAAACCTTATGCTTACATATACCTATATATTACATAAACCTTATGCTTACTCGATTACCTGAACGATCAGGTTTCTTGGCATCTGATACGTCATTATAGTACAACTTTACGTTGTGTTTAGTGCATACCTAATCTCATCACCTTCGCTACTTTTATTATGTTTAACAACTAAATTAAGATGGTCCACTTTATTTACAAAAATCTTGGCGAAACTACTAAGTAAAATCCTGGCGAACTCAGTGTTTGAGACGACCAAATGCATTTTAGATTTGAAATTAGCGCAAAACAAGTAAAATTATAAATTTTTACAGTAGGACTCTCTAAATCAGGATGCAATTTTCTTGTCGTGGTGAATGTTCACTGATCCCACGGCGCCGACTCAACCGGCGAGAGGGAAACCCGGGGGGGGTTTTAGTGGGGTAGGCACTCCAGCCTGGAGGGAGAGTCCCCACATAACCCCTGAGTCTCCCTGGGCTCAGAGGTATCCATAAAGATATCCCCCCGTCAAAAAAAAAAAATTTTCTTAACCGCATCCGTGACCGAACGGTTAGCATGTTGGTCTGCAACGCAGATGTTTGATTGCCGGACCGGGAGAAATATTAGAACGATCTACATTTACTTCTCTCGCGAGTTTGGGTGTAATTTGTAGACAGGGTTTCCCTGTATCAGGGTTATGAGGGTGTGCGTTATTCATTCAAAATTGTACAAATGCGTAATGACCGTTGTATATTCATACAATTAATAAAGTCATCAGTAATGATTTTGATATGTTGAGGCTCAGCTCGCAACTGACAGTGACAGTAGTCTCTTTCTCTGTCTTACTCGTCGTGATGTGTTGCTGATTTTGATATGTTGTCGCTCAGCTTACAACTGACAGTAACGGTACTCTTTTTATCTGTTTTACGTGTCGTAGAATATGCCATTCATTCACTAAGAAAGATGAAATAAATGTAAAAGTATTACAAGTAAATAGAGCACGTTTTAAACTAGCAAAATGTAATAAAACATTTTCCATTGATAACGCCACATTCACAGTTACTTGACGTAACTTGCTTAATTGTTGTAATTAAGTTTATAACTGTTTTATTGAGGCCAAGAAATAAGATGGGAGGTGAATATTTTTTGAGAAGTGAAATCAATTTTTGATCCCAGTAACATACGGCGGTGTCCCTTCTCTTGACACATTTCTTTCGCTTCCTCCACTCGCATGTGTTTTTTCATGCACGCTCTTGACAAGTTGTTCAAAATGCTGACAGCTTTACCATTCATACGACTATGCTAATAAATTATGCAGGACCAGATCCTTTCATTCTTGAGTTTCCGTTCAATCCGTTACTTTTTGTTGCGTTGTAAAACTTCAAAAACACAGACGACATGAAACAAAGATTGGTTCCTAGTGTCTTTGATACTTTAAAAATATTTGATTGATTTTGGCCAGTTGATAAGGCGAATAATGATTTATAGTTTCTTTTTCTTTATCAGTCTAAAATGAGATTTCGGCATCTACATTCCTCAATAACATCGACATATATACATATGTTAAATCTGTAAGAATTTATAACAATTAATAACGCATTGTAAAGTTTATTGCCACTGTAAGAATTAATCAAAAAGTTGTATGATGATTTTATAGATTACCTACCTTTTTTATCAGTCTATAATGAGATTCTATATCCCATAGAAGCGTTGATATTTCATAAGTTAAAACCACAAGCATTTATAAAAATGAATTACTTATTGTGACGATTATTTCCTATTTAAGATTCAAACAAAACTTTATAAAAATATTGTTTTTGTATTTAATTTAATGCAATAACACAACCGATTACAAAGTATAATTTAAAGAAGAAAAGACAAAAAAGAAAAAGGACAAGGAAAATAAACAAATAAAGAAAACAGTTGTCTAAACGCTTAATTAATGTCTACAAATCCCTAAAATAAAGACTCCCATCAACCCACAAAACCGCAATCCCTCTCGCTGATTCTCTGGCCCCAACGTAAGAAATTAATGAAGGTCTCCTTGTTGCTCCTTAGTATGGATAGCATGTAGTCCATTTTACAGCCTTCCCACTATCCATACTAAGAAGGTTCTCAGACAGTTCTAGTAATACTGAACCAACAAATCACAGAATTTAATGACGTGTGAGAAATTTATACGTGTACTAAACCAACTTAACACTAACATATAAAATGTTAACTAAAACAAATGATGGATTATAGAACGAATAAATAAATACGATCTGAAATTTGTATAAATCGATTTTAAATAGTAAGTATTTCAATAGATTCGATAATGGATATTAGAATGGAATTGGCAAAAGAGTTAAGCTAGACAGAAACAGATAACTTCACATGGACTTGAAAATTCATTACCTCATAAGAAACAAATACTTATAGTTTTTAAAGACCATGATACAATTTTCGACTAGGTGTTACTACTTGAAATATTTGTTATTACAAATACGGACGTTAGCGTCATTTCGTAAAATTTTTAGTGGTGGGAACATGTTTTAGGTTTTAACGACTGTTATATTACTGACTGACTGACTGATATTTACGTTCTGTTTTAAAATTCAAGTTTGGTTTTAATTAAGTTTAAGTTTTAAAACTGAATTTAGGCATTCACATTTCTGCTTGGCAGCAGATATAGGATGTGAGAGTAGTTTCTTGGACGAACTCTTTTACAAGGAGCTTTACTGTTACGGTAGGTAGATTTTAATGATGTATTTTTTTATCCACACATGTTTAGTCTTTGCAATTCATTGCTGTTTCCGGCAAATCTTCATTTCATCACGGCTTTTTTGCCTGCAATTTTATACTAAAACTTAAAGATATTTAAGTAAACATTCAAATAAATAAAAAATAAGACAAAAGGCAGTCAAAAGCCGTTAACATTATTTATTTATAATAAAGATAAACAAATAGAAAAACAAATACTTTCTAAAAATACTACATAACAATATTATGCAGATAAACTTTTCATAATTGTACGAAAACATTGTGAACTCCCACTTAAGTAAATATTTTATTACGAAGGTTGCTTCTTAGAAAGTTACGTGTATCAAAGTTGTTATTTTCTCAAGTAACAATCTCAAACATCAATATAGTACGGAAATAATATTTTCCAACATCTGGCGCCAGTAAACATAATTTAAAGAGCGAATTTAAAATTTCGGTTCAAAGAAAATATCCGTAATTTAAGTTTTTTATTCGACCTCTGAATAACAGAGGATAAAGAATGTAATTTGTAATAAATCACCGCATCTGGGTACGCAATTACGATACTGTTCAAACATACGCTTGTTAACTTATTGAGGCCATATTGGAGCCGTCGTGCACTAAACATGGCTTTCGTGCTTCAAAAACACGGAGGAGGAATATATTTTTTGTAGCGATCCATGTCAGCAACGTGTAGACTTAAGTGAAACTTTTGATAGCGGTTGGTATCGATTTTGCTTAATCAAATATGGTGTCAGTCAGGGTACAATGTTAGGACCTATGCTATTTATTTCTATTGTATCTGAATTCATTTTTAGCATAGAATAATTTGGATTAATTAATTATGGCAAATTTCTTTTTAAAATCTTATTTATAATATAATGGTAATTGTAGTCATTTAGCCTATTATTTCATGACAATATCCTTGGAATAAGGTCGGTAAGGCGTTTCACAAATTGCGAAATAAAGAGGAAAAGCACCTTTTCTTTTAAAAAATAACACTTCATACTAAGCAAAAGAATTTCATTATCTCCACAACTGTATTAAAAAGCTTTTCACTTGAGACCGACGCAATCCCTTCCTACACAAGACCATTGTTTTCGTTCTAGAGCCAAGCTTGCAAAATTTTGTTTGCTTTTAATAAATTGAAAATCTTACTGCGCATTTCTTTTCCTTCCTTTTGCCCTTCCCTCTGTGTGATTTTTTCGTGATCACCTCAATTACTTTTGAATTCGTGCACTTGATGTACTTGATTTTTAATTTTTCTTCCGCTCTGTGTATTGGTTGATGTATTGTATTTATTGTATATTTTCTGATGACGTCTACTGACTTATTTTTCGCTTTTGCTTCCTACAGAGTTGTGGTAATTGGCAATAATGTTAATAGCTTACAATTTCAAAGCATGCAGAGTTGAAATTTAGGAACTGCATTCATAGACTGGAATGCTTAGATAAAATTGAAATTTCAGAAGTGTCTAATTGAACTATTAATGTATTTTTACTTCTGTAACATAATCATTTTTAGATTAAATGACATAGTTTCGACTTTATATAACTCAAACAAACTATAAACCATTCTGAACTTACAATCAAACTCAATGATTCCTGGAAAAGTTATCATCACGCATTTCACATCACATTAAAAGAGCACTCTTAAATATCAAACGCCAAAGAGACATCGCGTTTCACCCATCGAATATAATTGTTTCCCAGAACATTGAACGTATTCATTCGAATTAATTCAACTGGGATTATTTCACAACGTATTTATGCGAATTTATAATAAGCCCTCTTAGAAAACGCGGGTGCTTCGATCCTTTTAGTCTCAAGTACGTCTTCTATTCAGATGCTAACGAAAAGGTCCATGAAATTAATTTACACGGCTCTTTTGTACGCCC